TATTTTAAACCTATGACCTATTTTTGAACTAAATTAATTTATTTTTGGGGTTGCACTGTGATCCTAAAATAGAGCTTAATGTGAAATTCTCCTTTGACATTTAATTTGGCAAAATATACACAGTACTACCCATTAAACGCAGCCTTGGAACAATAATTTGTACTTTAAAAAAAGCCCTGGTTTGGGATTAGGCATGGGCCGGTAAAAGATTAAAAAATAATAATGTTAAATGACTAAAACTACTAGTACTTCACTTAAATAGTATAAAATAGTATGAATAGTAAAATGTAAACCTGACTGAGAAAATATTCTTGACTGGCTGTTTTTCAACACTTGTATTTCACAGGATGCACCAGCCCATGTTGTTGTCAGTCAGTTATGTACTCGTGTAAATAAGGACGACAAAAAATACAGACCTGTTCATTAGACCTTGAAGCCTAATATTTCTGCTGCTGTAATGTTGATGTTAACTAACCAAAATAAAGAAAGTTAAACTTGATTTTAAGTATAACATCATTTAAATGGCAATAACTTGTTGCTAGTTGTATTTTTATTAGTGCTGTCAAATGCTTAATCACATAAAAAATTAAGTTTGTATTTACATAATATATTTTTGTGGAGTGTATATATTTATTTAGCATATATACGTACACAAAGAAATGTATATATTTGAGAAAATGTTCATTTATATCTTTATATGAAATATTTATATCTACCTCAAATTATAAATAAATATAAATAATGATGTACATGTTATGAAGATGCAAATTTTAATTTTGGGTTTGATTAGTTATGATTAATTGCTTGACACAACTGTTATTGTGTATGTATATGTTCATACTTAAAATGTCATTTAATATTCCATTTATAATTTTTTTATATTTTAACTTTATTATTTACATTCTGTAATTGATAGCATTAAAAGTTCTTTAATAACAGTATTCAAATTATGAAATAAATATTTAAACGATTAAATAAAGTCTGTGTTCAATATCACATTGCTTATTATTTAATTTAGCTGGGTTGCTGCAATTGAAATTAAGTATTGTTAAATTTCACTGGTATTGATTACTGAAATATATTGTGACTTCTCTGTTCACCACTCTATCTCTCTGTCCACATAGCTGTGCTGTGCAGTCCAAGATGAAAAGTACCTTTATTTGGTTTTGTAGTTCATGCCTGGTGGAGATCTGGTGACTCTGACCAGCAACTATGACATCCCAGAGGAATGGGCTCAATTCTATACAGCAGAAGTGGTGCTGGCACTCGACGCCATCCATTCTATGGGCTTCATCCACAGAGACATCAAACCAGACAACATGCTGCTGGACCGCAATGGACACCTCAAACTCGCAGACTTTGGCACATGTACGAAGATGGACTCGGTGTGTGATAAGTGCATTTGAAGTGTCTTTTAAGGGGGTTTAATTCTAACAAAAATGTTTCTCTCCTTTTTTTAAATAATCTAATTGAACAATATTTTGCTTAGTGTGCTTTTGTGCTGATACCTTGGCTAGTTTAGGCCTGACATGGACTAATAGATATGACCACTAGGTGACACCACTACTGTAGGTGACAGCAAGTCTCTTTCTCCTTATCAAAAATAGTAGGCTGCTATCTAAATCGGTACTTCATTTTAGTTCTAAGTTGTGTCTTGACAAATTAAAATAGAATAGAGGAAGTGAGAATGAAATTCAGGCTACTGCATTGACGTTGTTGTCACTGTCATGTTGACCTGTCGTCATCAGGCCTCATAGGATAGTAAATGAATTAATTCCACACTTCAGTAATTGATAATTCTGGTACTTTTTGCCTCCTGATTCATTCAATCATTTTCCTTTGGCTTAGTCCCTTTATTAGTCAGGGGTCGCCACAGCGAAATGAACTGCCAACTTATCCAGCATATGTTTTACACAGCGGATGCCCTTCCAACTGCAACCCACTACTGGGAAAAACTTATACACACTCCTTCAAACATACACTGTGGCCACTATGGCCAATTTGATTTATTCAATTCACCTGTAATGCATGTGTTTGGACATGGGGAGAACAAACAAACTCCACAGTGAAATTCCAACTGGCCCAGCCGGGCTCGAACCAGCGACCTTGTTACTGTGAGGCGACAGTGCTAACCACTGAGCCACAGTGTTGCCCCTTGCGTCTTAATTTCTACTACTAGTTCGAATGTACAAGGTCACATGCTGTTTTTCATAAACTGTATACAAGGGAAGTGTGGGATTTTGAATTTATTCTGTTTTGATAAGTGATTCAATGAACATTTATTCAAACAAGTGATTCAAAATGGCTGACTCATTTAGAAACGAAGCAATTAGTGACTGTCTTTGTTGATGATTTATTTAAAACAGATTGAAGTTCAACACACACACGCACACACACAAACTCTTGCTCTAAGATGCACATTTACTGCTTCAGCTTTGTTTGGTATTTTCTGTTGATCTGTTGAACAGAACTCGCTTTATTGTGTTTTAATGGATGTTCAGGAAAGCCTGCTTGTGTTAACTTGCTTGTATTATTTCACAAAATCCTACACATTTTAAATTTTGTTTGTTTTTCTCAATTGAATGAAGCTCTCTGCAATGCCAGCTCACAATACAAGTACATTTTTATTGAAAACGATAAATATCATACACCAGTAGTTGGTGTGTTTACATGTACTGTACATGACCGAGAATTAGAGAGTTTCTTTTAGATTTTGTAGTGTGGAGATTTACAATTATCACCTCACACATTGCAGCAGATTTGTTTAAACAATTATTAACGTACGTTACAGAAGTCCTCCATTCGGTGATGATAGATGTCAGTGCTGCCATCTTGTGTCTAGATTATACAGTGCAGTCCTTGAATTGAATGAAAATGAATTGTGTAAATAATTGAAATTTTAAACATACTTGTATTTCAGCTACATTAACTCATCCAGTAATGTTTATATCCATGTCTCTACATGTGTGTTTAGACTGGTTTGGTAAGCTGTGACGCTGCTGTTGGGACACCTGATTACATTTCTCCAGAGGTTTTAATGTCTCAAGGATGGACTGGTTATTACGGTCGCGAGTGTGACTGGTGGTCTGTTGGTGTTTTTATTTATGAGCTTCTAGTGGGTGAGTAGTGTCAGCTTCATATGCATCTCTTGTAATTTTAGTTCAGTGTTCTGATCATTAAATTTATTTATTCGTCTGTCACTCTGAGCAGGCGTCACTCCATTTTATTCCGAGTCTCTGGTGGGCACATATGGAAAGATCATGGATCACAAGAACAGCTTAACTTTCCCAGATGATATTGAAATGTCAAAGGATGCCAAAGACCTCATCTGTGCCTTTCTGAGTAGCAGGTGAGACTGAGAAAAGTAAAGATTTGATTTGAGTTTTTTTCAAGTTCAGACTCTTCGTCTCTTAATATACCCTTTCTTGTTTGTTTTTAGAGGTTGGCTGGTAACATGTATTTTTTTCAATTTGAAATTAACTTTACTGTAAAAAAAAGCAAATTTTCAGGACAATTTATTACACACATGATGAGATTTCTTTCCTAGTTTGGAGTTTATAACCTGGGTTTGACATTAGCTTTTTTGATCACCAGCCACAGTGGCTAGGAGTTTTCTTGCCATAAATTACAAGGCACAGAAATAAAGGAGATTAATTTAGCAGCTTCAGTGAGAAAAATGTGCAGTTTTTGCTCAGTTTATTCTCAGCTAATGTGATGGAAAAACATATTTTGCCTCTGTAGCCAGAATATGATGATCCATTTCCCCAAACACAAATGTTGGCTATAAAAAATAAATAATCTTTATTAAACCATTCAAGATATTCAATGATTTTTTTCTCATAATTTTGCAGCCCTGTATAATTGACCCACAGTTTTGTACAACCCAGTGTTGTTGTTGTTTACACTGTGTAGTGTTCTGATTGATTGAATTAGTAAATAATGTGTATATTTGACAAAATACAACAATTTAATATAATCTTAGCCTGATTACTACAGATACCTAAAACATAAATAAATAGTTTTATCAGTGAAAAAAAACGTTTTATCAGTGTTATTATATGAAATGTTCCCTATTTTTAAGGTTTATGGTCAATAAGATTTTTTTTCTTTAATGGTAAATACATAATAGATTACAAATATTAAGTTAAACTTGGTATAACTTTAAAAATGTTATTATATTAAAAGATGTTAAAGTAACATCAAAATATTTGTTGTCTTGACTTTTTGTCATTACATTTTTTACAGTGCAGCTAAACGTTTTTTTTTCTTTCTATTCTTTAGCGGATAAATAGCTTTTTTGAATTGCCTGAAAAACCACCTCTTGCCAGTCTGAAGTGTGTGTGTGTGTGTGTGTGTGTGTGTGTGTGTGTGTGTGTGTGTGTGTGTGTGTGTGTGTGTGTGTGTGTGTGTGTGTGTGTGTGTGTGTGTGTGTGTTTGTGTGAGAGTGGCAGTTTTTGCTAATTAAAAATTTCCAATGGACATATTTTCAATTCATAATTTCAGTTTGTGCAACTGTAGGGTAATAGAAACGGAGCGACTAGAGACCTGCACTAAAAGTCTTTAGTCTTGATGGTAAAGTAAACTAAGAGTTCATTAAGTTAGAATTAGATAGAAGTCAAATTTAATAGATTATTAATGGATTTTCATCGATTGAAGATGTGATGAGATTTTTCATGGATTTGTAAGTGGTTTCTATGGAAGCAATATAAATCTTAAAGGTCAGACTCCAGGATCTGTAGGTTTACTGTATTAGTGCTGGGCAGATTAATTACATGCAAAATATAAGTCTGACATATATGTGTGTGTATTATATATATTTGTTTTGTATATGTGATACAAACATACATAGAAACTAAACTATACAAAACAATTTTGTTACATATATATGTTTACATTTATGTTTAATCTAAATATAAATCAACATTTTCTTTAAACAAACAAAATTCAATACTTTTGAAACAGAGAATTAAGCAGATGAACACAACACACAGCACATACAGTATTGTACAAAACACATTTTTATTGATGTTGTACAATGTTGTTCACCCTCCTCCTTCACATACAGTATGTCTCTACTCCTCTACTTTGTTCTTTGTCTTCCTCATTCATACTGTTACTTTTTCTTGGCCGCCTCCTCCTTCTCCTTTTCTTCACCACCTCCTCCTCCTCCTCCTCCTTTTCAATGTCATTCATTTGCCCTTTCTCCTCAATGTGATTCTCCACCTCCTCACTTTCCTTTCCTTCCATCTCCTCCACTTCTTCCACCTTGCAGTTTTTTCTTGGCCGCCTCCTCCTTCTCCTTTTCTTCACCTCCTCCTCCTTTTCAATGTCATTCATTTGCTCTTTCTCCTCAATGTGATTCTCCGCCTCCTCACTTTCCTTTCCTTCCATCTCCTCCACTTTTTCCAACATGCAGTTTTTTCTTGGCCGCCTCCTCCTTCTCCTTTTCTTCAGCTTCTCCTCCTCCTCCTCCTCCTTTCCAATGTATTTTATTTTCTCCTCATTGTTCTCCTCCTGAGCTTTCATCTTGTCCTCCTCCTCCTCCTTTATTTGCTCAAACAGAAACTTTGCCGCAGATAGCCTTCTGGCGATAATTTTCCTTCTCCAGAGCTCCTTCTCTGACAGTCGGGTGCTGGTATCTTTTCTTTTCTTTTTCTCCACCACCACCTTCTCCTCTTTCATCACCTCCTCCTCCTTCTCCACCTCTTCCTTCTGCATTATCTCTTTCTCTTGCTCCTTTTTCTCCACCAACTTCTCCTCCTCCATTTTCCTTCTCCAGAACTCCTCCTCTGACAGTCGGGTGCTGGTATCTTTCTTTCTTTTCTTTTTCTCCACCACCACCTTCTCCTCTTTCATCACCTCCTCCTCCTCTTTCATCACCTCCTCCTCCTTCCCCACAAACTCTTCCTTCTGCATTATCTCTTTCTCTTCTTCCTTTTTCTCCATCACCTTCTCCTCCTCTGTTAGTTGGGTGCTGGTATCTTTCTTTATTTTTTTATTTTTCTCCACCATCTCCACCACCACCACCATTACCACCACCTTCTTCTTTTTCATCATCTGCTCCTTCTTCTCCACCACAATCTCATTCTGCATTATCTCCTTCCCTTCTTCTTTTTTCTCCACCACCTTCTCCTCTCCACTTTTCTCCTCCTCTTCCTCATTTGTCTTCTCTTGGTTTGTGTTATCTTTCTCTTTGTCCACCACCTCCTCCTCTTCCATCACCTCCTCTTTCTTCTCCACCACCTCCTCCTGCATTATCTCCTTCACTTCTTCCTCTTCCACAATCATCTTTTCATAGATCTCATGTTCAGAATCTGTTAAGACAAATGATTGCAGTTTGCACATAGTACAAAGTCATTTTCAAGGAGACGTTAAACTCCAGATAAAGGGGAGTAAAAATACAGTTTATTAATGACATTATACACTAGAAAATATTGAGATACAAAAACCATCATTTACCATCAGATGAGGAAAGTGTGAACGGCTCATTACGAGGACAGAAGCAGAACCATCGAAGAGCAGCTCTGATGAAAGAAGCAACCTTGCTCTTCTTTCTCTTCTTTCTCTTTTCTTTTACTTTCTCCTTCTCATCTGTTAAAAGAGAAATGATTGCACATCTTTACACACTTGTCCACAGTAATTTGAGAGAAATTTAAAATGAAAATTCACCAAAAACAAAAACCCCAATATATAACCATTTAAAAAAGTTATTGTAGCTAAACCAAGGTTACCACAAGTTTACCATGGATTTGCTACACTTTTGTATTTTATTATTATTTATTGTATTTGACTATAATATTTTATTATTTTCATGTTATATAAAACTGCTTACACAAATGATCAATGCACCAAACGATTTAAAAACTACATGTTCAGTGCACTTTTTTAAAATAGAAAGCTGAATACTGGGTTATATTGCACAGCTAGAGTTTTTCAGCCAACAGTAAATTTCTGATGAAAGGTTTCAGTGATTATTTAACATTTTATAAGGTTGCTTTTACACCATAAACATCGTGATGTAATTAAATTACAATCAGTTAAATTAATCCAAGCATTCATTTAGTTGTTCAAGCATAAAACGAGACGATAGTTTATTGTATGGAACCGCTAGCACCGTCAGTACCAGCAGGCTAGCGCAGAAACTCCATTTAAAATACTGAGCTAAAATAAATTTTCATGTTTATTTTAAATGTCATTTAATGCAGTGATTCTTGTCCGGTCTGAGACCCACTTTATATCAAATATATATTAGTCAGTGAAGATCACATATTTTTAAAGAGAACAGATCTTAAATGTGGTGATTTTGTAATGGAAAGACAGTTCACCGAAAGCCATCGGGGCTGTCGGTTGAAAATGAAAAGTCTGTGTGCATATCTCATTTTACTAAAGGATTTTAGACTTAAGTTGTATCAGAAAAGCTGAAAATGAAATACATTATCATTTTACCCAAAATGTTGCATTAAGATGCACGTGAATGCAATGATAGCCAGCAGTTTAACCAGCTGTCTATTATCCTGTACAAACATTATTTTTAATAGTAAGTATATTATTATGTCAGGAAAACACTGGATATTGGATAGCACAATGTAAATAAGACTCACTATTAGTGCCATTTCTTGGCCTTTCTTTGAGCTGCTTCACTTTTTTCTGGCTCTTGGAGATCTTGCAGGCTTTGGGAACTTCGTCTTCCTCCATTTTAGCAGCTGATGTTGTGGGGAGATCAGAAATCTGTTCAACCATCATATAATCGGTACAGGGTTTCAGTCTTTCACCTGTAACCACTCAAAAACTTGGGGTTTGCTAGCTGGAATAGGATGAGGATTTCGGTCTTGCACCGTGAATCACTCAAACGGAAGATGTTCAATCGCTGAGACAGTCTCAAAACACTCGGAACGCAAGTTTTTTAACACTTAACAGCCAAAAGCACACCTGTACTACTCCACTTCAACAAACCCACAAGATATTCTCCTATGATGCAGGGCTTCAAGTACACTTTTGGAATGCGTTCTATTTTCAGAACATGTCACTATGGTAACAAGACATAAGACTAAGAAATGTTTTCTTTTAAACTCAAATGACTGCAAATGTGCAAATGACATAAAATAAATGAAAAAATAGCTAAATAAATTGATCTAAGGGACAAAAGCTGTCTTAAATAGATAATCAGTTTGAAAATGAAGTAACTGTAGACAAAGAAGCACAACAAATGAAACCTGTGAGGTGAAACTCAAACCACAAAACTGACATATATTGACTGAAATAATATCTAATAAATTATGCTAAAGTATTCCGCTTCAATGTGATCCATCCACCAAGACATGCTGCAAATATACATGCCATTCCATAAGAAATAAATAATATAGTCATTAGTGTAGGAGTGCAACATCAACTCGCAGGAAAACAAAAATCAAAACTAAATGTAAATAATTACCTTTGAACAGAAAATATAGTTTAACAAATGAAAATCAAGAAAATAATTCAGATTCAGGCCGTAAGAGGCAGAACAAATATGTGCAAAAGCACAGGCAACATATATTCAAAATGTGAATCAAAAATAGTTGAGTTGGTAACACTGAGTGATCAAAACAGAAGCGCATTAGAATAAGAGTTATACTCAATCAATTTGGACCAAATGCTAACAATATATATTTTTGCATTTTTTTGTGTAGTTTTCTTCATAATAAATATACTTTAAACAATGTTAAACTTGTAATTAAAAAAGAGGCATGTTGAAAAAAATCTACACAACTATTCAATTCAATTCAGCTTTATTTGTATAGCGCTTTTACAATGTAGATTGTGTCAAAGCAGCTTCACATAAATGGTCATAGTAACTGGATCAGATGCAAACTAGAGTTTTCTTGTTTTGACTCATTAAAATATGTGGTAAAGAAATAACTACATGTGTTCCTTTTTCAATTTCATTGCTCCAACCGGGCCATTAACCAAAAACCATTAGTGTTTAGACATGTATGATCTAAAATTTCATTCATAATGGTCTTAAAATGATCTTAAAAAGTCTTAAATTTGACTTGATGAAACCTGCAGAAACGCTGAAATAATGAGGGCTTTTGTTATGGTGCAGACAGAGAAAGGTAACTTTTTACTACAATAAAATCACATTAAATACATTTCCTTATTGAAATCATTATTTATTTTAAATGAATTCAAATCAAAAGAGCTAGTCAAAGCTGTTAAGTATTGCCAAAGTATTGCAGAATACATAAACAATGAGTACAATCTTAAAGTGATTTTGTAATACATATATAGAATATATACCTACACACACTTAGTTTTAATAAGTACGCAAATAAGAAAACTGATATGATTATTAAAAGATAATGGGAAAAAACTATTAAGAATAATAAATAAAAATACAATACACAATGGTTTATTTATTCAGATGGTTTGTAGTAATACCACCCATATATATGTGTTTGTGTTTGTGTGTGTGTGTGTGTGTGTGTGTGTGTGTGTGTGTGTGTGTGCGTGGGTGCGTGCGTTCGTGCGTGCGTGCGTGCGTGCGTGCGTGCGTGCGTGCGTGCGTGCGTGTATGTATGTGTGTGTGTGTGTGTGTGTGTTTAATAAATTAAACTTTAAACAAACATGAGATGGAAATAATGAAAAAAGCAAAATGATAATTAGAGGGAAAAAACATAAATCCAAAACTATTTAGTCACATAATACACTATATATTCACTGGCCACTTTATTAGGTACACCTTAATAGTTTCATATTTCCTTTTGCCTTCCGAACTGCCTTAATTCTTCGCGGCACAGATTCAACAAGGTACTGGAAATATTCCTTAGAGATTTTGGTCCATATTAACATGATAGAATCACTAAGTTGCTGCAGATTTGTCAGCTGCACATTCATGATGTGAATCTCCCTTTCCATCATATCCCAAAGGTCCACTATTGGAGGCCATTTGAGTACAGTGACCTCATTGTCATGTTCAGGAAACCAGTCTGAGGCATTGATATAATGCTCAATTGGTACTAGTTGGCTCAAATTGGCACAATAGAATAAAAACAGTTATACTAGGAATTAGTATTTAGATCCTTTTTTTCTATGTGAATATATTTGAAAATCGATTAGATTCCTGTGATTTAGTTGTTCAGAATTTTGTTTTTGTTTGTTTGAAAATACTTCTCAAGCACACATTATATGATTTGCCATTTTAAAGACGTTTCTAATGTTACAAAAGATTTTATTTTAAATGAATGCTGCTGAAATCGATGTTTGTGTACAGTGTTAAAAGTAAAATGTATGAACTGCATAAAATTTTAGATTTGATCATATATTAACAAAAGAAATCTTATCTAATGTATGTATTAATTGGTTTTTAAAGGTTCAAGACACCCTGGAGCACTTTAAAAAAATGAACAGATTTGTGTGTGTTGAACATCAGTTAAGACAACGTTAGCACCTGTCAGCTTTAATTGTGGATAAATCTGGATCATTTTGAGCTTTTGTCAAACTGACAAAAACAACTGTCAAACTGACAAAAACAACTGTCACCGAACTGACAGTTCGGTGAACTGTCCACGACCCCTATGGCACGTCTTCAGACCTCCGCCGACTCTCGAGTGCAGACGCTGTAGAGTCAAGTGCCATAAAGACCACATCGATCGCAAAGAAGAGGTCCTCGCTCCATGTAGAGGTCAGGAGATCACACTCAGAAAGACACAACAAACTCATTTTACTGTACTGTAGCTGATTAAACTTAGATTGTTAAAATATTTGTCTGGAGGCAAGGAAAAATATAATTTCATGAATAAATATGTTAATAATAAACAAATAAATATAAATGTAAGAAATATTTATTTTTATATATAAATAAAAGTTCATATAAACTAATTATAGACCTAAAGTTAATATTTTTATCCATTTCTCAGTGAATATGGGTAATATATATATATATTGGTGCATTTAAACAAAACATTTATTAGAAAGATATATTTAATAAAATAATATTTTAGTCACAGAACATCTTTAGAAATGAAAAGATAATTTTAAATTCATGCAAAATACTGCAAAAAAAATCTACAACATTTTATGACAATTACAAGCTACGACATTTCAACAGAATTGCATATATTTTTTGTTTGTCTTGATGTTTGCTATTTTTGAAAATTAGTATTTTATATTTTTCCCTAAAATAGAATAGAATTTTGTTTTATTTTGTTAGAAAAGCTCCAGATTTGGCTTTAGTGCTGATTAAACTAATGTATATGCACAAATATAATATTGTAAAGCATCCCATAGGAAAGGGGGAGGGGGGGTGTACTCGTATATGCTGAGCACTGTAAGCGTGTATTTATGGATGTTAGTCATAACTGAAATATTCTACTTTTAATCCACTGTTATTTTAAGTTTGACGTTAGCAAGGCTGCATGTATATTATCAAATTATATTTATACACATAATAATGTGAATTGCTTCTTTTTTTACAAATTGGTAGTTTGCTTTCAAATTTAAAACGTATCAGAACCGCATATAAAATAATAAATCATATATTTGTATTGATATATTTTATTACTACATGGAAAAAAAAAGTTTTCATGTTAAACAAGACTGCAAGTATTTGATCCAAAATGTATTAACATCAAAAAATTGTGGCATATTTCAGCCAATGATATTTTAAAATATTTGAATGTTTTTTTTTATTTGTGTTAATGTTAATTTACTTCTGTGATGTCAAAGCTGAATTGTCAGCATTTGTTTTTTTCAATGTTGCTCGATCCTTCATTATATATTTACATTTTATACTTCATAAATTAATATACTACTATGATGTTCATGAAATATCTTATTATCAATGCTGAAAACAGTTGTGCTGCTAAATATTCCAGTGGAAACTTTTTTTAAAAGACATTAAATAGAGCTGAATTTTACTGGATTTAGATTCTTGTAACATTTTAATGTATTTACTGTCATTTTAGATCGGTTTGATTGCTTGCTAAAAATTGCTTGTTATAAAATTGTTGATATAAACCGAAGCTTTTGAAAATGCATTTTAACACATGGAGTTTTGAACTCTGAAAAGAATCTGTTGTTTGGTTTTTGTCCTCCAGTGAATTACGACATGTCCACAGCGAAAGAGATGCTGCTGCTGGCAAACTCCACAGAGGAGCAGAAGAAGTGGGTCAGTCGGCTGCTCAAAAGGGTTCCGCGTAAGCCCTCCATCGCCCACTCGTCCAGCATAGCCATATCCGCTGCGCCCTCAGAGGCAACACCCACTACCCTTTCCCCTCAGCCGTCGCCTCGCCTCGCTCAGTCTTCACCCAGACTTTCACACCGAGCAGCCGTCAAAGTGCACTCTACACGACAGCAGCCCTCCAGCAAGAACAGGTGAGGAGGAGACGCTTTCACTCACCCTCAACTTATTCCAAACATGTGTCTCTCTTCTGTTCAACACAAAAGAATATATTTTGAAGAATGCTGTAAATTGGTAGCCATTGGCAGACACAGTAGAGAAAAACAAATACTTTGTTAGTAAATGGGTACATTCTTCAAAATACCTTCTTTTGTGTTCATTAGAAGAAAGATACTGATAGAGATTAAAAACTGATTTTGACAGAATTTACATTTTTGAAGAAACTATACCTTTAATGCCCAGATATAAAGAATGTTTTGTTCCTCGTTAGGAAGAAAAAACAAGTTTGAAATTCCAGAGTGGTGGTTTAGTGTTTATGAACATCTTGACATCATCAACACGCCTCAGTGATGTTTAGATGAATATGTAAATATGTGCTGTGCAATTTTTTCCTACAGTAACAACTAAATAAACGTAAACAAAAATGGCTGTGGTGACAAAACAGCAGTTTTCAGCAATCCAGTCATGTGGAGTCTAGGGTTGTAACGGTATGAATTTTTTACGGTATGATAATCGTCTAAAACAATACCACGGTTTGACGGTTTTGCGGTATACGGTATTAAATAGTAATTCTCATAGCAAAGACCCTGAAAAGAATAAGAACACGTTTTCTGACTGAACAAAGGTTTTATTTCAACAAACTTTTGAAAGAACCATTTTAATAGAACTATAGAAGTCTTTTATAAAAATAAACTGAAAAATCTCCCATTTTAATAAATTAAATTAGAAGGAATAAACAAGCAGGGTCTTTTAAGATTAGACAAAAATAAACTTAAACTGTCCTTCCTTATAAGCAGAATAAATGGGAGACCAAAAGTGCAATACCAAGTTTATGGCTGTAAACATGTATTTAAAGCGTTGTTTTTTTCAGTCTAGGTTGTGATGAAGAAATGTAAGCATGTTGAGATTTTCAGGACTTAATCTTGACCGCTGAGGTGAGAGAATGTGTCCACTTGTACAATGAACAAATAAAAAAATAAGAAATAATGTGTCAAAGTCCAAATAAACATGGTGCAAATCCTCAGTAAAAAATAGATATAAATATTTACTATACTATAAATAGTTACATAACGAAACTAGATTCAATATGGAACATCCTTAGGTTTTATGTGCCAGCATGGATATTGTTGTCTGTGGATATGGATTTGGATGTGGTTGTATGCAATGCAGACAAACAGCTGCACCTTCATTTGTGTCTTTTGAAAACAGCAAGACCAGCAGTTCGTCTTTGCTGTGTCACTGTTTTGTCATGTTTCTGTGCTGCTGTGCATGCAAAAGTACTTAGTATGAGAATTATTTCATGCAAAACCTTTTTTTTTTTTTGCGTTTTATTTAGCCGCGCAAAAATGTATGCCTATCTCTCATTCCGTGTTGTTGAAAAAGCTCATTGTTGGTCCAAAAACAAAAGCGAAACCTATGCTTATTGGTTGTGATATAGCGAGTTTGAACCAATCTGGGCATGGAGGAGGGACAATGCATCAATGTATCATGTCTGGTTTGTCCGGAGACACAGTGACGAGCGTTTCTTTGTCAAATCAGCGTTGTCAAATTTTGATGACGTAACCGCACTGATTCTGGAGCCTCTGAAAGTCAAAGTCGCGAATGTTATGTGATACAGCACTGGAAAGCTGAGATTCCCTTCTTTATGCCAATCTTGGAATTGTATGAATCGGATCAGCGGATCAAAAGTTATTAAACATTTAAGAGCAATACTTATTTTTAGCCGCGGGCGGCTGTCTCGATCTTTAAGGGTTAAAACCGTTGATATGCAATTGTTCATGGTATGATAATCGTGCACGTTCAAATCGTGGTAAACCGTCATACCGGTATATTGTTACAACCCTAGTGGAGTCCCATCATGTTTATAGCAGTTTAATCAAATACACCAAGTATTAAGCTTTTTAAGTATCAAACATGATCAAATCTTTTCTTAATAAATTACCCTTCCACTGTAAAGCAGCTCTTAGTCTTAAAAATAAAGCTTCTATATTGGCATAGATGGTTCCATGAACAGCTTTAAATATCCATTCCATAAAGGTTTCATTACAGTGAAAAAATACATTGATAATCTTAAATATCATTGAATATCTTGAATTCTCGCTGAGAAAAAAGCGTTATTTGAATTAAAAGGTTCTTTGGGGAACCAACAATGGTTACTTTTTAGTGCAAAACTTTTTCGAACCTTTATTTTGAATGTGTTGGATTGTATTGGCCTCAATAGACTTAGCAGAACAAATGCGCTGGAGAAGATTAACCTGTTAAAAAAGGCGAAGCTCTAAAGCCACACCTACGTAAAATGGGACCAGGCAATGACCGTTTAAAGGTGTTTACCAGCGGATGCAAACTTTTGCTCAAAATGACAACATCAATTTCTGTTGATGTATACTGGGGCCTTTAGGTTATATTGAAATATAGTAGAATTGTAGGATAGAGTAACAAGACTTCATCTAAAGCAATGTTTGAAATCTTCTATTACTAACACTTGATGTTTTATTGGATAAAAAAGAGAAATAGCTTGATTTTAATTGAGGTAAACATAGTGTAGTGTCATGTATGTAGACTTGGCTGTGAAGATCCCAATAGCTTACAATGATACCGCTAACCTTTTGTAGCCCTGGCCCAATGCTCCGTATCATTCTTCACTGACCTTTCACCTTCCCTACTCGTGTAAATGTGTGGACAGTAAGTACCGTGCACTGCATCTCTTTTCTGCTCATCTTCAACATGTTTGGCTGCTTGTTCTCTTCTCTGTTTGCATCTGAATCCTCAGTACTAAAAACACTCCACTAACAATGCAGGCTCTCTCTTTTAATTCCATAATATTGCCATCTAATCCTATCTAAGCTGTGAATATTTTATTTTATTTTATACTATTTTCAACCCAGTAAACGGGTTACTCATAGTGGTCTTCATGTCTAAAATTTAACTTAAACTCTGATAACATTACCAATCTTTTTTTTATTTTGTGGCCAAAAAAAGAAAAATGTATCTTTTGTGTTTTTTCCCCAAGTTTTTTTTTCATGGCATCTCTGCCATGGTCATTTTTGTGACATTTTAATTGAAATCTTTGTAAATAAAGAGCAGTGGGTGTCTCCATCACATCATGTAGAGCTTAAAAAAATAAACAGCTGTTTTCCAAAAATGAAATGTTCCAATAATGAAAAAGCAATAATATCATCATGAGGGCTTCTCTAGCAAATATCTACTGGTGTAAAATCAAATAAAAAAGAAAGTTATCTGTAAATAAAGGATAGCATTTGTCCTCATCACGTATCTTGTGTAAGTGTAGTTTTAAATATACAGTGCTCAATATATATGCATGAGTACACCCCTCACAAATCTCTCATTTAAATTAATATTTTCTATAGGATGCTTTCCAATATTATACTTGTGCATATACATTAGTTTAGTCAGTACTGAAGCAAATCTGCAGCTTATTGGTGTACTCATTTATGCTAAGCACTGTGTGTATATATATATATATATTTTTTTTTTTCTTTTTTTATGTGAACCTGTATTTACCAGTGTACTTTTAAACTAAACTTTATAACTTTTATTTTTTAGACTTTGTCAATGGCATTTGTACATGAGTCCAAAAGACTCCTCTTTGTTGCAGATTGCTTGAAATGGGCCTGAAGGACTGGGGTTGGGCTCTTGAGGTTGAATTGGATGATGACGATGTTTTAGACTTCTGAAAACTTGAGGTTTTTGAGGGGTGACCAGCGTGTGGCTTGAGGATGCATTTATATCTGTGTGTGTTAAGCTGTGGCTTAAAGCCGGTTTTGCTTTTTTTTAAATGATATTAAAATTTCACACTGTGAGGGACTATACAACACGTTTTGAATTTGCCAGCATGTTTGATGCATTTACAGTACACGAGTGGGCATGTTTGTATGTGTGTATAAAAGGCAGAATAGTTTGGTTTAGCTGGTTTGGCTGTATAGAGAATGGGATTTGACATGTCTGCCAGCATTTTATGTATGAACGTTTTTTATGGTACTAAATGACCTCCATCTCCTCTCTCTTAATTTCAGCTAACCTTGGTGAAGGCCGGATAGGTGATCATGCATCTGGGGTCTATGAAAGCGGAAAATGTCATAGTGTTCATTTGGGCTAATGGCAGGACTTCCAAGTGCCAAACACCACAATATAAATGACTGGGGAAGGGGACGGTATATGATATTTAAATACAGCACAAGCCATAAATCACCTAAAGTATCTAGTTTCAATTTTAAGTCATTTTAAGAGTAGAGTGTTTGTGTTTTCCTATACTATACAGTTTGACAAAAAGTGTCTTCTAAGCTTTTAAAAATGTCAGAGGTTATTTTCGGACTCCTTATAGGGTTGTTAGTAAGTGTGACTGGATGTTTAAGTGTGTTTCCAAGAGCAAATGAATGATAATTACGAGATCATCAGGATTTATATAATCAAGTATTATATCTATTTTTGTTCAGAAAAACAAATATTTAGTGGCACAGATTATATTTTTGTCATCTTTTATTTTGAAGAACACCTTCAATAAGCATTACGTCTGCTCTATGTATTATTGAAGACTGATATCATGATGCAAAGATGCACATTTTATTAAATGCTGTGACAAATTTGTATGCATAGTGGAACATGAAGACCTACGGTCCAAACATTTTCTTTATTTTATTATTTTGTGAAATTGTTTATAAAAAAGCTTTATTTGATTGAACACTTCTGACTCTGTGATGATCCAAACACACCTTAAATATTTCAATAGAAATGCAAGCATGTTTAATATTCCAGAATAAAAAACTGTCCATTGCTGAGCATGTGAAATGTGAAAAGTTGAAGAGTAAGGCTGAATTAATTTAGCATAATCATATTGAGACCTGGAAGGAACGTGGTGTTGGAGGAAAAATGGGTGGGAGAAAAAAAACTGAGTGCTAGGAAAGTATATATATATATTAAGTTCATGTATAAGCGCTGACTGACGGACGTGCTCTGTATGGTAAACTGATCCCAGCTCAGCTTCTGTATACGCCATTTAAAGAGGAGCTAAACTGCCGGACATTTTGAATTTTTGGTGTGTGTTTAAACAGACAAATACACTTAATAATATGTAAACATTTCTGTCCTGCATGTTTTATTGTAAACACAACAAATTTTCTCTAAAATGAGCTCAAACAGTTACTAAAGTATTGGAATGCTTTCATTATAGATTTGTGCATTCTTACAGTGACACCACTGTTATAAATCAAAACAAAATGAGAGATTCATTTGCTCTTTACTTAATAACTATGGTAACTTTAATCAATAACAGAAAGTGTTAGTGGAACAACAGTTTTGCGAGGGAACGCACAATACCTTTGCGAGGGAAAAACTTTTCAAAAAATATTTTCCTATCACTGTCCTTTTTTTCACCCACCCATTTTTCCCCACCATCACGTCCCTTCTAGGTCTCTGTATAATCGTGATTACTTAAAAAATTAAGCTTTTTTATTGT